AGGCAAATATGCGTTATACATATTTGTGCAAAATATCCGCAAAAACATGAAGACTTATAAAGAAATTTTGCTCTCAGGTCATTCTTTTAAATTTTAGGGTATTTAACATTTATCGTCGAAATTCAAGCAATGGGTAATGAGAAATTTTAATATAACTCAAGTTCGATGAGGTTTGCACGAGTCAGTGTAATTAGCGCCTCAATAATCGAAGCCTAAAGTTTCCCCTCGACCTTACCGGCCCATTGACACTGGCAGCACCGTTACCAAGTACGCCAACTAACCCCCACCCTTCTTTCGCCGTTCAAATAGTGTTGGTGCAAACTTGTCCAAGTTCCGACTGCAGCTCGAGCTAGGTAGAATACGTAATGAGTACGTGGGCTCTTGACTTTGGACCATTATACGAGCCGACCCATTATGACTAATCGCTCGGTATGCCTCGCTATCGAGCTTCAGCTAGTTATTCGCGTGGCGAATGAAACTCGTATGCGTACAAGAGTCGCAGTTGTTACCACGGATTTACGTTCGAACAAGTCCAACCACGTTTCAACGGAGTTGAGAAACGTTCTCTTCGGCGAATATCTTGATGAAACGCGATTGTAATAAGGAAACCGTGAAATATAAAAAAATTATAAAAGAGAAAATTGTTATAATTAAGTAAAACTTTCACCAATCATTTTCATCAATCGTAAAGATCGATGTTATATATAGAATATATAGAATATACCGCAACTATTCCGACTATCAAACCTCTAGTTAAAGTGCGGACGGATTAAACTCTTATTTTACTACTTCACGTCGCTCGACGTGAAGCGCTTCCCGCACGAGAGATCGAAAATTTCTAGATAATTTCTCGTCACACGATCATCCCTCGTGAAGTCGTTCACTCGGGCGCGACAGCGTGCGATCTAATTTCTAGCTTAATTTCGAAGGCAGACGCGGTCCGTGTGGGGAACGATGCGAACGCGAACGGTCATACGCGCAGTCAAGGGATGACAGTGCGAAAGGGAGAGGGAGAGAGAATGAGCGGTAGAACGATAGCGATAGGGGAGAAGAGAGGGGAGTTTAGGTATCAGTGGTTCTATAGCGATATATTAGCGCAGCGATTGCCGCCAGCAGCCTCGGCCTAAGTGAATGGCTCTGCCGAGGGCTTTGCTGATTATGGTGTCGCCATTGATCCAGATCGAAATTGGCTTGCCTCTGTCATGGAACGCGCCCAGAGGACCATTAATATCCTCCGCGGGCCAAGAGCGAACAGGCGCGACGCCCGTATTGATGGCGAAGAAGAGAAGGGGAGGAGAGGTCAGATAATCACAAATACAGCTGCAGATCGAGGTGCGAAGCCTCTCTCGGCACTGTCAGAATACATCAGCTCGCCTACCGGTTAAATAATTAGCATTCGATGACTCCTCGTGTCTCTCTAGCAGAGAGTTTATTTAGAATCTTAATCATTTTTGAAGATTTGGCACAGACAATACTCAAGTGCCGAAATTGAATATCTTAGAAGATGGTGTTTCGTTCAATATGCAATACTTTAGATTAGTTTTGTATAAAAAAGAATATTTTCTTTTAAATATGCAATATCTAGAAATATACATCAGTTTAGTACATGTGACTTTATGCATACTAATTTTTTTTTAATATGTAACATTTATAGCTCTTAAGATTTTAAGAAGCAGAAATGCTATTAATAATAGAAAATATGGTACTTTTGCTGTATTTACTTATACAGAACATATACACAAGAAATATTTTTTATTATATATTGAAATTTTAACATATTACATTAATTAATTTTTATATAAAGAAAATAAACAATTTTTAAGGTACCTTTATAGACTGTCAAATGAAAAATATTATAGTATATAATACTGAGCTTTCGACAGATAATCAATTCTTCGGCTTTAAGCAGTCGGCTAATGACAAAAAGGACCGTTCGATTTATAAATCCGTTTTAAATCCGTGATTAGGAGAATGACAGTCCGTTATTTGTCTACCTGTCGGTGGAATTAATAAATTGTCTGGATTAAAAGGTTTCACAATCAGTAACAAACGTACTACTCTCGGAGATTGGATTTGGCGTAAATCGCTGAAACTAAAGCATAATTTTCGCGCACTCTCAATTGTCTCAAACGTGTTCGTTTACGCTTCCACCTTTTATCTTTCTGTCGTCTAATTAACGGGGGTTACAACGGGGAACCATGAAAGAATAAAGGTGTTTCGTATTTGATCGCACGAATTACAAAATCGAAGTGTAAAATTTATAAACTAACTACAGAGTGCTTCGACGCGTGTAACAGATTATAAATATCGGATCGCATATACAAACGCCATTTCATTTATCCATAAAATTTTCCGATATAGATAAATTATGCAGCATCGGAAATACGCCAATAATAGCGATGGATTAATTTAGATCGTTCACGAGCATTTATGATTCGCTTTTGCTCGCTTATTGCTCTTTTCAGTCCAATGAATAACTTATTTGTGAAATAAATATCCTAACGCTCGTTTTCAGCCAATAATGAATAGAAATATCAAATTTTTGTTGTCTGACAATTTCAAACAGGATATATTATAATTATTTTTTAAATCAGATTATTTGCATTCGATAACAATAAGCAGGTTTTACATTTTTTATTATTGATTTATTGTTGGCATTAAATTAAAGTATGCACTTTTATATTGTAATTAATTTTATGTAACTTTGACGCAGTTTTTAAAATTTAACAATAAATATCTATAGACATGTCTGCAATATTTGAGTCACATAAAATAGAAAAAAAATTCTCTGATAGAGTAATACTAGTAATAAAATACTTGATCTAAACTAACAATCCTTAATGTCGATTAACTTGACTGTATGAACATGACATTTGATAGCACACTTAAGCGCGATATATTTTCGACATTTTGACAGAATCACGTGAAATATAACGTGTGTCTGACACGAAGAATTACATGAAAAGTGAGGATAGCATTGCTTTCGACAGTTGGTCTCTTCTCACTCGGAGCTGTAATACTGATATCAATCTTTATGGGTTAATTGAAGCTTTCAAAGATAGTCGTTTGTTAGATTGAATTAAAAGCCGAGTAATTATCGGACTTATCAAAGAAACCTATTTTCTATTCGCTCAAATAAAAATACCACAGCGGCACTCTACATGTTGGCAGTGATTGGCACATATTGACTGTATATAGGGAGTCCGTCAGATTCGCCGTTTTTTGTTCCAGTTATATTATTCTATTAATTTATAGTCGATTTTTCCGTAATAAAAACATGAATGAGTTGCCATCGCCGTCACTTTTCAATTTAAAAGTTTTGTTTTTTGAAAGTTATATTTTGAAAAGTTAGTGGAAAATTAAATTTATAACAATGTAAAAAGTTATAAGTATTAATTGAACGTATGGAATTTACATGAAATTTTTCGAAAAACAGTCGACGTTGAATTTTTTTCGACTAGAACAAATTTTCGGTGTATATCTTTTTCGGGACATATCGTGTGAATGCGGCGATGAAGACTCGAGGTAAAACTTCCTTCCTCCGTCTGTATCTGTCGATTGCCAATATCTCGGCAAGACGGTAAGAGACGGCGGGATCGAACAGGCGGGATTCTTGGTTCTGATAAGAGTTAGTGCTCACTTGTTGACCCGTTTCAAGGATCGTAACTAATCGAGATACGAGACCAACGATTGAGAGCAATGATGTGAGAGACCACAGATGCTATAAGTTTCGAATTTGTTGAAAGATTTTAATACGTGAAAAACGTAACATAGAGACTTTTACGGTGATTTGCACCGATCGATCGTGAGGTTTCGAGACAGTTTTGTGACTTTCAGTCGGCTGATTTCTGTTTTCGATTCGTTAAGAACGACTTACGCTCGATTGAATGTTGGCGGTTTCTCGTCGACGATTGCCACAGAGCGAATCAACGATACGCGGATAACCGAGTGCTTGTGATACCCGATTTGTCGAGAATTATCACGGCAAATCGAGAGAATCTGCGATCGACTGAGTGTTGGTAGTCCTCAGTGGCGATGCATGCAGGGCCATTAGTTAGCAACGGATGAGCTTTACGCTGAGTGGCATTACGAGCGAGTAAATTTTCTGTTTTATCGTCTGCATGCGAATCATCGGTACGTAGGCATTTCGACACATCGTTTGGCACGATCCGTTTGGATCCGCTGTTTGGGTAGCTGAGTAGAATTACAGACGCGGTGCGCCGGCCAATGGCGACCCGTTACAACGAATAGCCACAATCGAAGCTGATAATAGATTGCAATTGTTTGCAAACTGCAATCGCTCGCTACAATCGCGTAGTCATTCCATTTGTATAATATGTTTCGATAATTGGCGGCTTTTACGTGCGAGTCCGATTGGGAAATACGTATGTTTCGACGTCAACGACGGGTCTCTCTTCGTTATCAATAAGGTCGATCTGTCGTATCCCGGAGACGTGTGTCACGGCGCGCGCCTTTGTTCAAGTTGGATTGCTTCCCCTCTGAATCTAATTGTCCGCAGTCGGATCAGCTCTAAAGCAGTCGCGAGCATAAACGGCGCCAAATAGTTTCGGCCTGCCGGAATTTTCGCACATCAAACGCCGCTTTAATCTCCTTAACATTAGCGTGGCTATGAGAGATCAAAACGTATTTCGACTGAACAATTTTCCTATGTGGAAAGCGCTATTACTAAAGCTTGGAAATTCCAATTTATTACTGCCAATATAAGCAGAGGACTTAGTATGTTCCATTTTTGCTCAACGCCCGGTGATGAATTAATATTCGAGCGTTGCCCGTTATCAAAGGGGTTTGAGTCAATTTTTATCAAAGCTGCCCTGTGATTTAATTTATAGATAACGTAACACGAATTAGCTTAGAAATTGAAAGCTGGTGGTGCTAAAGTGCCGTAATGAAAAGTACGCCTTTGGCGAAAAGGCGGGACGGAAATAACGATTGGCGGGCAAAAGGGGTGGATAAGCTAATGAATGCCATGTTAAATTCACCTGTGCACCGACGAGGCCAGCGCGTAATCTAGGGATGTCCGTGTGACTCCAGTCTGATCTGGCCCAAGGGTCGACCCTGCCGAGGTCGCTGCTCAGGTTGACCTCGCCAAGTTGATTGTGTACGAACTTTCTGACGTTCCAGGGCAAATCGTTGTGCCTGCGAATTGATACGTGGTTTCGCTCACAATCAACTTACAAATATAATTTGTAAACTGTACGATATCTTACAATTAGCATTATCGTCTACGTCTATTTAAAATTTATATTTTACATTGATATTTTTTACTTAAATGTTATTTACGAAATAACATATAAATAATATGCATTCAAAATACACAATTGTATATGCATATATTTCAATATAATGTTTGATATCGACAAATTACAATGTAACTTGAGATTAATGAGAAGATTGAATCGGAATAGATTCATCTGGCTTCGAGTATCCAGATACAATATCCATATCATTACGCGGTATGATGTATGTTAATATTTCGAACTGATTATTTGATACTAATGAGAAAATATACTCTGGGAATCTATAGAAAATTACATGAAACCAGCCGACAGCTTGAAACAATTCATATTGTTTTTAAAGATATATAAATATTTGACTTATAATATTTTATATTTATATATGTATATATATTGAAGCTTCTTTTTATTTGTATTAATGTGTTTGCGAATTTTTACCATCAATCACGTATCGAATTACAAATACTCACCCGTCGATCAGAGGCACTTCAGTGAGGATCCTCCTGATCACGTCCAGCCTCTGCTGGTGCGTGGCAGGCGCGGATTGAAGGAGAAACGGCAGACAGAGGCCTCCGAGGAGCAGGACGGCTACTAGGAGCAAGACAGGCGCTAATAGCCGACACCTCCTGCGAGGACTCTCGTCTCTGCGATCCTTGCTGCTGCCGCTGCTGGGCGAGTCCTCGCACGGCGGCGGCAGTCGCACGGTGCCGTTACACGGCGCCACGTCTGGCAGTTCTGTTAGGCACGTGGTCTGAAAGAAAAACCGAAATCGGAAATCGAAAATGTTCTAGCTGCTTTGATTTCGATCAATTATTAATCTCGTTGCAGGAATCATTGCTTTAAAGAACCGGAAAATGGAGAAAGGATTGGAAGTTTTATGGCCAACAATTTTTTTTTAAATAAAGCAAAACCGCCACTATATATAAAAACCGCTGCGTGTATTGTGCTGTATTTTTTAAAAGTTACAAAATATATATTGTGATACATTTCTATTTTAGCTTGCAGTAGCAGTTTTGTTTTATTTTTAAATAAATTTTTAGATTTATGTGCTAGCTTTTTTGAAACTTGGTATATGAATTATTAACATTTCTTCCTTTCTTTTACATCAATGTTTGTTAACTTTGGTAATTTAACAAAATAATTACTTTCAAGCGTCTTCCTATATTTGTGATGGCAATCTTTATCAAACTTTTTGATCCGAGTGAATACGTTCGGGAAAAGTTAAGCAATTGCGCGTCTTAACGGCTGTTTAAATATCTTTTAGAAAGTGCATTTTGCTGATGCACATATAGCGAAAACGAACGCTACGGCGGTTGCAACCTGTCCGCGGAAAAATACAACTACCGTAGATGGAAGTGCAACCTCGAAAGTAGGGAAGGAAGGAGGGCTACTTCGCGGCGTCACTGCGACGCTCTGCAGGCAACACGGCAAACTTTTGTTCGCCCTCCTTTCGACCACCATAAAACACGTTAACGCCTGGCTACGGATTTTCCGCGTGTATATAACACACAGCGTAGAACGTAGTTGCGACCGAAAGATGCGGGGGATACTTGGCGAGCCTTTGGGAATTTTCTCGGTTTCTACAGTTGTCATAAACAACTCATAAAGTCATAACTCTCGTGTACATTTCTTCGTAATACTCATCAGATTTCACGCAGTTACAGTAAATCGAATAAAATCTTAGATTACCGACATTATTTACGCAAAGAGGAATAAAAAATTCTGAGAAAAAACATTTTTTTAATCTTCTGCTAAAAAATCTCGAGTTTCAGTTATTTTTGTAAAATGCTATTTGTCTTTTTTTTCTTTTAATTGTAATTGTATATGTATATATTATTATCATTATGTATACATATATATGTATATCTAAATAACAAACAAATTATTTTATTCACTTATTTCAGTTTATTCTATCCGCTGCAGATTTAAGCTAAAACTGCTTTGCATCAGCTTCATCACACAACTGATGAATACCTAGTGATATGTATTACCGAACGAAAATCAATCCACATACTTTACTTTAGAATATGGATTCATACTGCAAATTTGCTATGTCACAAACGCAAACGAATGGTAAAACGCATTTTACGTTGTCACAATTTTTTTTAAAATAAATATACGTACTGGTTTTCAACGAAATTTTTACGCATTGAAACGAAATTTAAACTTGAAATTTTATTCTCCAATTTATTATCGTACATATTTAACACAATTACTTCCATATGTTTCGTTTTTTTTCGCGGTTTTATATATTCATTTTTATAAATCTACTTTTAAATTTTTATAAAAATCATTGAATAAAACATCATTTGTCTGTAGCTTGTTAAAAGGTGCATAAAAAGCATCAGGCTTCTCACTATAATATTCCACTTTTTTATAATGCACAATATCTCAATATTAAATTTCTCCAATATTAATTAAATAATAATTAATTAATAGTATTAATTTTTATTGTAAAGAAATATTGAATCTGTTCTTTGTAGCTGTATTTTTTGTATTTTTTCTCTCTCTATCTTCTTTTACTCTAATGCTTAATTATATAGATTTTTTTACTTAGAGCACAGAAAGTGTAATCTAGTGTAATATTTAGGGCGGTATTCATAGTTTGTTCTTATATTCAAGATTGTCTTAAGCACGGACTTATATTCGCTCTCTTCGTCACACACAATCTGTGTGCATAAAAAGCACCGTCACACAATCTGTGTGTGACGAAGAGAGCGAATATAAGTCCGCGCGACGATCTTGAATATAAGAACGGACTATGCATACCGCCCTTAGTTACAAAAGATCCGCTTGTGGCGCTGCGCGCGTTACCCCGCCATAAGAACTTTGTACTTTCTACCGCCATAAAAATTTTGCGTTGCGTAGGTTCTGGAAGCAATCCGCGAATGTTCCACGATTAATCGCGTATTTTACCCGTTAAAAATGCATAACGAGTGCAATTTTTTGTCGGAAGTGTCGACGAAAGTGACGGGTGATTGCTAGAACGTATTATTTTTACCGGGGCGTTCGCGATTAACGGCATTTCGTCGATCGCTTTGTCGTGAATATGTAGGTTACAATTCTAATGAATACAGATTTTTATCTCTCATATATTCGCGAAAATTTTACCTATTCTCTCAAAACGATATATCTTTTCATTAGATGTAGCATGTTGAAAATTTAGATTTCGTCTCGGAATCATATCAGGCAAATCGTACATGCGCATTCGTACGTGATGACCTCTGCGTAAGCACAACCATCGTAAATCGTCTCGCTCGGAGTATTTGTATAGTATCGAGTAGACCACCGATGTACAAGGTCAATATGTGTTAGCTCTGTCGACATAGCACAGAGTGTTTTTTATTTCGTTTCGCGTATCGCGGCATATTAAATTTGCGACGTAAATTCGCGATTTTCGCATGAGTGCGGGTTGATTTTTACTCGGTAATACGCGTAACTAAGTGTGGATTTCCGGCATTCGTAGAATCTTTGGTGGAGCTGATGCGGAGCAGTCGAGGCGGAATCTGACAAAAACGGCTGACAAACTACAATACTTCAGCTGGTGAATACAATTATTTTATTATTTAAATTTTTATATGATACACATACAATTACAATTAAATAATTATTTACGCAATCTATTGCATATTATTTAATTAATGAATTAATAAATTACTTAATCATTAAATTAATTTAATTAACTGAAATGGAAATAAGTAAAATGTAATAATCGATACGTGTAAAATGTATTAATTCATAATAACTATATAATAAAAATGATTATTTTTTCAGGTGCACCCGATGGCGTACCCAGCTGGAGTACAACGACTGGTGAGTGAATACATTCATTATATTACGCTTACACAATTACATTACTTGCATAATACATAACTGTGATAACACAGTTATATATTTTACATATAATTGATTAAATTTTACATGGCTCAATTATTATTTGACTTGTTATAATTATTATAATCGATTTAATTATTTAATTGAGAAAATCGAACAGACTCAAAAACTTTTGACGAAACATTCATATTATCATAAATGGAAAGACTTAGAAAACAATTGGAGAACTGTGCAGAAAAAGCTTGAGAGATTAACATAGTGAGCGCGTACAGCTTTTCGATACTTTTATATCTCGGCGAAACTTTTATTGCTTTGACGTATATCTTTTTTCCTGCGTACGAGGCGCCGAGTTTTGCGTATTTATGGTGCACAATAATGCGGATATGCGAGGGATACAAAGTTTTGCGAGGGATGCTCGTGCACGCAGTGGAACAAATTCGAACGAGAACGACGAGCGCCGGATGAAGTCGGTGGATTCACTGGCGAGCAACGAGCTAAACCGCGAAAGTTATCGTCGGTATTATCGATGCGAAAGAAACAGCAGTGTGCATTATCGTTGAAGCGCGAAACGGCGAACGCGATACCCATTTTTAGCCATTTCTCCGTCTTCTTGCTCGCAACTCCGTTCGGTGAGAATCGATTGTCGATATTGCAACTAATTAATAGCTGCCTGGAGGTAATGAAAATGAAACCGATAGGTGCGCCATTTTCACGCAAATAACTGACAAAGAAGGGAGACAGTCCTCATAATTCATTGTTTAAACTCAAGACTGATAATTATATAGCGCGTTGCACTTTTACAATTTTTTTCTTTTATTATATACATATATTCTTGAATGAATTTTATTTTATTTGTCAAATATAAATGCACTTCTTGTCACATTGAAAGCAATTTACGAAATTGATAACGCAAAGACAATTTCTTCTTGCAAATTTGTTTCATGATTGATTAGAGAGAATAATTTCAACCTCTGGATTTTTCTCGCGGAAGTAATCGCTGACAAATTAATTCGTACATCTTTAACGTCCTTATTTAAATTAATTCGTACTTTGCTGCGCTGGCTATGTAAAGACAATTATTGTCGCTCGTGATAGTAATAACGGGCGACCGGCCTTTTAGCACTGCTCCTCTGGAAATTTAACGAACAAGCGAATTCGACGTTATACTTTTATAACCGCGCTAAAAACTTTTTACCGCGAACGTAAACATATTAATTAGGCGCGTTAATTGAACGCGTTTAAAAATGTAACAATGCATAAAACGGTCATGTGAGATACGATATTTCAGTCTATTTTCTGGATTTTCTTAAAATTTTATTTTTTATGAACAATAAATACAAAAGATCAACATATCATTAAAATAATTGTTTTTCTTGCATAATTTTTATAAATGCGTGAAAAGTTTCCAATTTCTCAGAGATAGTAAAATATTATTTAGTATGTCAATACCGTAGAAATTCTTTAGGGAGCAGGAAAAAAATCTCCGTGAAAAAGATAAATACATATATATCTTTAACTTTAATTTCCACAGAAGTGGAGAAATAACACGTTACTTATTTTAAGAAAGATTTGGAAAGATTAAAATGGGACAATATTAGAACTAATCTGTACTTCGAGAATCAGTATTTTGACGAATAAAATGAAATAGATGATGAGATATGCAAATGATAAATATGAATTAGATTAAAAAATTTCCATGTTTTTCGTTAGAAAAATAATGTTTAGTTATATATTTTTAATTTTCCATTAAAAAATATGGCGGTATCATGTGCCATCATTTGTCATGATCACGCCGTTTCACTCTACACTCCAGCACTTTTAGTATTCTGAAACTATAATAGAACCCCTTCGGCATCTGACGTGTTCTTACACGATTTCTCAAGGAGGCGCGAAGTGTGAGATTCATAGTTGGCTCTT